AAGAAATTGCATGCTCGAATTATTGTTTGTGGGCTTGAAATTGCAATTTATTAGGCTCTAAGCTTTTGCATTGCTATGCTAAACTTAACCTAGTAGGTGAATCTCGATGTGTTCTTCATAGAATTGTTAGTGATGATCTTTCTGTTTGGAATTCGTTACTTGTTGGGTGTTATAGGGCCGGCAACTATGAAGAAGTTCTTATTCGATATTTGGATTTGAAGTGTCAGAAAATTGGTTTAGGTGGTTCAGCAATTACTGTTATTCTGAGAAGTTGCGTTGATCTTGGGAGGTTTGATTTTGGAAGAAAAATTCATGTGGATACCTTCAAATTCAATCTGAATGTGGACTGCTTTGTGGGTAGTTCTCTTATTAAGCTGTATTCTAAAGCTAACGATTGGGAAAGTGCCTCTAAGGTGTTTGATGAAATTATTGACAAAGATCATGTGGCATACACATCAATCATCACTGCTTTTGCTCAGTGCAACCTTAGTGCTTATAAGGCCTTTCAGATTTCTCTTAGAATGCAGAAGAAAAAGCTGCAACTGAATCGAGTGACATTAGTGAGCCTGCTTCAGGCAGCAGTTCAATTGGGAGCACTAGAACAAGGTCGTGCAATCCACGGCTATGCCATTAGACAAGGAATTGGCATGTCAGATGAGATTTTTGAAACAAGCCTCATGGACATGTATTACAAATGTGGGCACCCACAAATGACTGCTCTGATATTTAAAATGGATGTGAGAAGGGTTGGTTCATGGAATACCATGATTGCTGCTTATCTTCAGATGGGACAAGAATTAGAAGCAGTCAGACTTTTCTGTCATATGACGTGTGTGAAAAATTTTGCCTGATTTGTTAACCTTAGCCAATGCACTTTTGTCTTGTTCTAACTTAAATTATATACGTCAAGGGAAGAGTATCCATGGTTACATGATACGGAGGGGGATGGAACCTGATCTGGTTGCTAGCACTGCTTTGGTTGATCTGTACTCTAAATTTGATGTAACCAAAGCTAGAAAAATGTTTGAAAGCTTGGGGAATAAGGACGTTGTTCTTATTAATGTTATGATGGCCGTGTTTCTCCAAAATGAACTATCTTTGGAGGTTATAAATACTTTCAATGAAATGGTCAAAATAAGCATTCGCCAAATGTTGCTTCATATCTGAATTTACTTTCTGCTGTATCAATTTTGAGAGAATTAGGATAGCTAGGTCCATCCATGGGTATTTATTGAAGCATGAATTTCTCATGAATGTGGAAGTTGTGAATCAAATATTAACACTTATGCTAATTGTGGGAATATGCTTTATGCTGAGAGAGTCTTTATTTGTGCAAGATATAGGGACTTGGTTTCATGGACTTCGATGATGAGAGGTTATGTTTACCATGGCTGCCATTATGAAGCCATAGTTTTGTTTCGTTTGATGCAAAAGAAAATCTGAACCTTGACTCTGTTACTTTAACAAGTCTGATTCAGGCATTATCTCTTTTTGGGTGTCTAAGTTCTGTCAAGGAAGTTCACTGCTTGATTTACAAAGGCCTGCTTGGTAGAGAGTATTTGTAACCAATTCTCTGCTTACAGCTTATGCAAAGTGTGGTAGAATAGATATAGCTAGATGTATGTTTAATCAAATGGTAGATCGCTCTCTTACAACATGGAATGCAATGATAGCTGCATATGGGATGCATGGAAACTGCGCAGAGGTTTTAACTCTTCGAACAAATGAAATCTGCCGGAGTTAGACCTGATGAAGTAACTTTACATCAATACTCACTGCCTGCAGTCATTCAGGTTTTGTAGAAGATGGTTACAAGTTTACAAGACCATGGTGCAGGAATATTCCTTACTTCCATGTGAAATTCATTATTCATGTATTGTAGATTTATTGAGCCGATCCGGACTACTTAAGAGAGGCATACAGTTTGGTTAAAATCATGCCATCAACCCCAGATTCTTCGGCATTGTGTTCTTTGCTTTCTGCTTGCAGATATATGGTGATACAGAGATAGGTGAGGTTATTGTGAAGCAAATGTTAGAGCTGGAACCGAATAACTCAAGTTTACAGTCTCTGGTGTCAAACATATTTGCTGGGAAGGGAAAATGGGATAAGGTAGCCCAAATTAGAGCTATGACAAAGGATAAAGGGTTGAAGAAAACTCCAGGACATAGTTTGATAGAGCTGGACAAGCCACATGTTAGGTGATCTCATGACAAACTTCATTGCAAGTTCCCATCCTATTTGATTATTCAAGTCTCTTTATAACTCAGATCCTCTCTAAGCGTCTAGCTTCCCTGCATGTCTTTGCACATGTCCTCTGCTGGTCACCTAAAATGACATCGTTCAATTATGATTAGTGAAGACACACCATCTATTGTATTGAATGATCAGGAAATCCACCGCAACAAAATTGAATTATGCCTGTTGCTTTTGGGAAGTCATGACTGCCCATTTCTGCTCCTAGCTTCCTTTTCTAATGCGCCCTTGCTTCTGTTTTTCATTTATCAGATGCTCGCAGTGCCAACTGTCAGGTGTCTTCTACAATGGTCTATTCCTGTCTTCTTTCCATCCACTTCTTTTTTGCCCATAGCCCTCCAACTCTAAACTTTATCCATTACTGGAACAGGGTACAATCTGCTGTGGAAGGGAATTCATAATGGCAAGTATTCAACAGAGGATCACAGGACCATCTCCCTCAGTAGCACTACATTTGAAGCTTAAACTCCCCAAGAGAGTGATCTTTTTTGCTTGGAACCTCTTTAATATGGTTGAGGAGTATCATCTCCAATTTGATCAATTGTGCCCTTTCTGCAATTTGATGATTTAGAACCCATCAGTTACGTCTTTTGTCAATGTGACTTAACTAAGGTTGTTTGGTTCACTTCTCTAACTTGCGTTGACTCATGTCAACAGCAAGATATTATGAATCAGTTTTTTATGTTGGTTTTGCTAAGAAGAAAAGCACAGGTCTTCATGAATACTTTTCAAAGCTTATCATTTTGCAGCTTTGGATGGTATTTGGTCGATGAGAAATGATATTATGCTCAGATCTTGACAAGCTTCGGGGCTCAAACCTGAACAAGCTTAGCTATGAATATCTTCACTTGAGAAGTTTCACAGGTTATCAAGTGAGAAGGCAACCTCAAGGCTTAAGCTACTACTACAGGCAGGTTTTAAGGTTGGACAATGGTTTCTTGTAACAAATAACCAAAGCCATTAGTGCAGACTCATTCTAAACCATTTTCTGGATTTACTTCTGGGGTCATTTGATTTGTATTTGGAAATGTAAAGCTCAGAAGAATCTTGTCAGGGCGTTTTGTTTGTCTCTGCTAGCTGGGTCTTGCAAATCCTATACTGTTTTAAGGAAAATGTTTAGTTTCTGGTGAATTAAATACATGTTTTTAAATCTTTTCTCTGCCTTAATTTAGATTTTATGAAGATTGAATGTAGGTTTGAGAACTTATCATTTATATTCTGGTCTGATTGAAGAAGTCTGCTGTATACCTGAGGTTCTTTTGTTTTTGCTGGAAGCCTGATAGAGTGTTTTTCTTTTCCTTTTTCCCCCCTCCGTTTGGAAAGAAGGCGATTTGTTTGTTGGCTATGGAAGTCTCATAGTATTAATTGCCAGTTAAAAAGTTCATATTTCTGGCCGGGTCATAGGTCTGCCAAACAAGACTTCTCTGTGCATCTTGAAATATTGTCATTTTTATTAATTTTCTTGCTCCCCTTTTCAGTATTCAATGTTTCAGTTTGCCCTAGTCACTATTGTATTCTTTTATTAAAAGGATTTATAGCGATTTCTTATGGTTTTACGCCAAAAGTTATTTGTCAGCTTCTATAAGTTAGTTTTCAAGTGCGTTGGGAGTTAATTTTGCCAAAAAGGAAACTGTAATAGGATGGATAGTGAAGCCTCAAATGAAGATGCTATGGAAGTGCTTTGACTTCCAGGGTGATCTGGGTGGGAATTTTACTGGACTTTTGGCAGACTGATAGAACTAATGTTTTGGCATTGCTCTTTTATAACTGTGTATATAAGTTGGTTAGGTTTTAGTTCTGGACACTTCAGCAAGTGTTAAGATGTTCAAATTCATTGCTCTGGATAAACAGAAAGACGAATCTTAGGTTTTGTCTTGTTTTCAAATGTTACTATCAAGTTTGCAATGAAAAACTTGAGAGGTGCATATGTCTTAGAGCTCAACATTGGATAACCTAATAACAAAAACCAAGTAACCTCGTAATAGTTAGCTCGGTTGCTGCAGTCATAGTCAAGGATGCTTATGGTTCAGTAAAAATGTCTAATGCATAATTTGACAATTTAAACTTTGAGGCTCATCTTGATTTGGTTGTTTTTTTTATTTCAGCTTGGCAATGGGTCTGCACTTCCATCGCATGCATTATGATTGTGATTGGATGCTTAGAGGGTGTTTGGATTAGTTTTTAGAGAAAAACTTTGAAGAATATCATAAAAGTGATTTTAGAGAATAGATTATGAGTAGAATAAATTTTGTTAAAAAAGTGATTTTGATAAAATATGTTTTCTGTTTGTTAGTCATTGTTGATGCAAAAACATTTTGTTGCTTCTTGCTTGTTACGTTGACTTGTTGGGTTTTCTTGTTTTGGAAATTCTGGTTGCGTACCACACTTAATTTTAGCCTCTTAATTTTCAGTATAATAGTTATTTGAAGCTCTGAATCTTTTTTTGCTTGAAGCATGAACAGTTGCCACACTGCCTTAGCTTTTTGGCCCTTCAACAAGATGGCGAGACTACTAGTACAGATTATCTAGGATACAAAGGAGGATCTCTTGTTCAAACTCCCCATTTGTATTTATCTTTAAAAGAGGCTGGCTTCTCCAGATTGTAAGTGCATGTTTCTCTCATTCTCCTTCGAATAAAAAATGTGGTCATGGGTGTCACTTTTGAGGCCTTGTTTATAATCAACAATGAAAGTAACTCTGGTGTCACTGAGCTTCATCAAATCTGATGTTTACATTCCTTGGCAGAACTCACTCTTCTCCAAAACTTGGCTTAAGAGCTACAAAATCAAAGGTCAGTCCTTGGCCTTGGACGAGAGGGATACAAATATAGCAGTATTTACGTTGATCAGCTATGTCAATAGTAAGCAGGTCCAATCCTGCAGATTTAAGAATAACAAAAGAGATATTTGTTTCGGCTATTCGCTTTGCAACATCCATAGAGGGACCATGTCCCCCGTTTGGAGATGAGCTTCGAACTTCTGCTCAAGAGCAGGTTGAGTATATGTTAGCAGAGGATGAAGACACTGCAATGGTTTTGGTCTATGATGAGGTGAGATCAGCAATAGCAATGGGTGTTTCCAAGGTTTTTTGTTTATTTGAAATGGATCTGTCTTCTTTGCTCTTGGATGCTAACCTGGAGTCTGAGGCTGCTCATAAGAGGATTTTGCTGAGAGTTGCTGATCTTGAATGGATGTGTAATGTCCTCCTAAAGATGGATTTAGTGAAGAATTTTGTTTTGCAGTGGACTGCAATCTCTAAAAAAATTCTGGCAGTGATAGAAGACAAGAAGCTTGACCATGTCATGTGGGGCCTAAAAGCAAAGATGATAGAAGTAACGGGGAAGGTCCTTGAAGCTGTGGGTTATGGTAGTGTGATTGTTCCAGCTCTATGCAGGGTTCAGTTGCTTAAAACCTGGCTTCCATATGTCCGGAAGATGAAGCCTATACTAGACTCAAAGGCCACTGAGGAGATAGGTTTTCCATACAAGATGGGTGAAGACTTGTGCCAGAACATTGAGGGCTCGATCGTATCGTTGGTGCTAACCTTGCCGTCGAATGATCAGGCAGACATTCTTGCTGATTGGATCAAGGGTCAGGAGGTTCAGTATCCTGACTTGAGCGAGGCTTTCGAGGTATGGTGTTACAGAACCAAGTCTGCAAAGAGGAGACTCGTGGAAGGCTTAGACGGCCAGAGTGATGACAGCATTTGAGTTGGGTTCCAAGGCCCTGACCTTTTTTTTTTTTTTTGTTCATTGCTTTTTGGCTTCAATTCTATGTTTGGAACATTGGCATTAGTATAAGCATATGTGAACCTCAATGTATGATTAGTGCAGCAATAGCGACTCACCCAACTGATATTGGTCCATAATATAATTCAGGAAGTTTACTGTTTTTGTTGTATAATCTTGTGGCATAAGAGCATGATAATGCTTGATTGTGCATAAAAACGCGCCTTGGAGATAACAAATTTTGGATAATTATTTTTTGTGATCCCCTCTCCTTTATTCATTTATAATGTGATTTGCTGCAACATGTGCAACTCTTTTTTCTAGATATTAAAATTATGAGAATACCGTTGTTAACATTTGAGTATAAGGAAATAAAACTTCAACTTGAATAATAAATCTCAAACGGTTATATAAGATTAATCATATCTGTAGCATTCGCAGTTATTGGATTCTAAATTACAACTGTTATTTTATTTTTAGCCTGATTATGTAAGAATAACTTGGTAAAAATGCAATTGTCATATTTTTTTGTAATTAAAAAAAAAAGAAATTGTCAAATTGATAGAACATTTGCATCATTTTAAATGCTTGTTCTTGGATTTATTTCATATAGAATAATCACTTGGCTTAGGGGAATAAAAGATGGAAGAAGAAAAATGATAATTTGGGAAATTGCCTGATGGTCAGGATGAACTTCTATTTTTTAAAGAAAAAGTTGACGTTCTGTATTGAGAAACATTGCTTGCTTCTTTTCAGAGCATCAGAGCAAAAGGAAATTGTACTAGTTCTCAGATGTAGTGTCATTACACTCTACTGGGTTAACTTGGCTATTGACGACATCAACTGCTTGACTATAAGCACTTGCAGATGACGCAAGTGACTAGAACAAATGAGGAAGTCTCGATCTGAGGCTGTTTAGAGTCATCACTTTGTTCAATTGCTTAGCTTTCAAAACATTTCCCTCCTCGGTTTCCTTTTGCTTCCTTAAGGCTTCAATATTGTCACATTTAGCTGATAAAAAGGCTTCAACTTTGGCACGTTTAATTGCTAAAGGATTATTGGGGCTTGCAGGTGTATCTCCCCCATCATCATTCCACTGAAGTTTGCTGTTCATCTCTTCTAGTGAGGTTTGTTCCTTGTTCAGCTTTCTCTCCAATTTTTTGACCCTTTTTTGCAGTCTGCCTTCCGCAGCTTGCTGGACAATTATGCTACTAATAGATGATAGAAGGCTTTTTATCGATTCAGAAGTCTCCTGCAACCACATCAGAGCACAAGAAAATTTATAGATCTTAGTACTCACAAGAAGTCAAGGATTAGGATCCGTTTGAAATGACAGTGGAAAAAGTAGCTTATTTCTAATATGACATTTACAAAAGTAAGATTGAGTAAAAGTTATATTGGATAAGTTTAATTATATTTAGATTGGAGTTTTAAAAAATTAGTTTGTAAAAATGATATTAGTAAAAAGTTGTTTGGATTATGATTGAGTATAAGTAAGCTTATTTGTAAAATTACCAAAATGAGTATGAGTTTTAATAAATAATGAAACATGATTAAAAAAATAATTTTACATAATACAATGAATTTAAAATAATTTAATATGAAGAAGTGAAATTTAATAAGTGAATTAAATTTTAAAACTTTAGAGAAATCATAAAAAATATTTTAAATATAAAGTGAAACATGATAAAAAAAAAATGAATTGACATAATACAATGAAGAAGTGAAATTTAATGAGTAAATTAAATTTGAAAACATCAGAGAAATAAAAAAATTATTACAAATATAAAGCAAAACATAATTTGAATGGATAAAAATGTTTTGAACTCCAATTCATTGTATTGTGACAAGGTAAAATGAAATAATATTACATAATTAATTAACTGATAAACAATGGATAATTTGGTCTCTGATTGCATCACTGATGCAATTCATATGCGATGAAGACTGTGATATAACATTTGAAGATGATGGTTGACTAGCTTCAGCCTGATCATGTTCGCCAACTATATTACCGTTTTCAGCTTCTACAAAAAAGGTGTTGGAGCTTGAATATCTCCTTATAAGGTCATGAATGGCCATTGTTGCACAAACCACGTACACTTGTGTTTGGAAGTCAACTACACATATTTCATAAGATTTGAAATCTATTCTTCCAAACACTAAATGTTCTTTCTATTGTGCACCTTAAACTGGAATGATAATAATTAAAGGCTTCGTTACTATTTCAGAATCTTACCTGTCGTCAGAAGTTTGGAAGGTGGTAGCGCTCAGATCTATATGGACCAAGATATCCATTTGGTGTTAGATATCCCGCATCAACCAAGTAATATTTCCCTAATGAGTCATGAAACAATTTGTGACATTGTGAAATGAATAAAAATATAAAATAGTTAAAAATTAGTATAACTAGAACTTATAAATATATACTTGGAGGTGGATGAGGGAAATTTATAGATGAATTTGTAATAGCATTGTCAAACACACAAGCATCATGTGCGGATCTCTCCCATCCTGCCAAGACAAAAATGAAACACATATTCCAATCACATACAACCATGGCATTTGGTGTTGGAATTTCCTTTTTGCCAATAAATTTGTCTCGTTTTGCAGCAGGGACAACACACTGTATATGAGTACCATCAATTGCTCCAATTGTGTCCTTAAAAAATAGATAATAACGTGGACCATTCTCAATTTTTCTATGAGTTTCACAAAATGTAGGATCTACGGGTCGAATAAGTTCCATCGATAGATTAAGGCAAGCTTGCAGTATATTGTGAAACTGCCTACTTGTAGTTTTCCCTGAATATTAAAATCGTTCCTAGGTCATCCTATTGCATTATCCATATGCAATAGTGTTTAAAAACATCGCAACCATTTCTTCAATTTCTATGTACTTAGACTTGTGTAAACTATGTTCCTCCAATTTAGCACATAAAAGGTCGAAAACACATTTATCTACTCTGAACATTTCATGACATTGATCATCATGACCCACCAAAATGCCATGCACCCATAAATTTCTTATCTGCTCACAAGTTCTGTAGGGCTGTTTCAACATGTACATTTCACAATAATAACCCACTAATGCACCTACTGCTTCATATTGTGTTAATTCATTATTAATCATAGACAACCATGTTGAATGGTTATCTACATTCCCTTCATTCCACCATGAATCGTTATTCCAATTCCCCAAAGTATTTTTACTCCATGGTGAATCATCATTCCAATTGGCTATTGTATAATTAACCTTGTAACTGTGATCAGAAGAAAGTGTAAGCATTATAAAGAGGAAGTAAATATTTTCCATACTCTTAACAGATAAACCAAATACATAAATGACAAGTAGAAATTAGTCTAAATATATTATATATTCATTAATTAAGTTCCTGCAATAGGCCATATCAGCTCATGTTAAAACAGCAATCCGTTCAAGTTAACAAGTACAATAACAATATTGAAATACTCCTTCGGTCCTAAATATAGGACCCAATTATTGAGTTAGTTTTGGTCCTAAATATAAGACCCATTTCTCATATTTATCAATTTTCTCTGAAATACCCCTATGGATACTCCTTCAATCATAATCAAGTAGAAACAGGAGATGGGGTATTAAGAAAGATGATTATGGTGTTTTAGAAAAAATATGTCACATTTCTTATAATTAACTAATTTACCTAACTTTCTTAATCTAATCAAATTAGTTAAATAGGTTTTATATTAAGGATCGGAGGAGTAAGTAAGTCCTAAACTGCAGGTCCCTTCCATGTGTTTGGATCTTGTGCTATCAGTATCAGCCACCTCAACAACTTGTGTTTATCATGCATAAACGTCAAATAGGCTTGCCTAGCCCACCTCAACCATATAAGCATCTTAGCACATGCATAATACAGTTGATCGTCATCATTAAGCTCTTCAAGGTCAGTTAGGTGTGCCAAAACCTTGTCAACTACTTGGGGATCATCATTTAATGTTGCTACTCGCTGCTTAGAAGCAACTGCTATAACAATGAGGCTATCAGCAATTTTAGTAGAGGTAGCAACTTCTTTTTTTTTTTCCTTTCTTCACATTAGACGTCTCACCCCTCTTCCTCTTTCTATAGCTTCCTGAACCACCTAGTCTACTACTTGTGGGGTTGTTTAAGTTACAACCGGCTAAGTCATATGTCACCCTTGCATTGGCTATTTGGTCAACACCAAAATTTTCATCCTCACTATCCCCCAACCCTTCCTCTTAGTCCAGCCTGACTCTATAAATATCCTCCTCCTCTTTTGTTTTAGCTTATGGAATAGGTGTCGACTGAGGTTGTGAGGCTGATGGTGTATACATATAGTCTTCTGAAGTCACAACATCTTTGAATATTTTCATCAAATTTGATCCAAACATCAACTTTGATGTCTAAATTTCCTGAAATTGGGGTTCACCTACATTAACATAATTAGGTATAATCAAGCAATGTCTATTCTGATGTTCAAAATTAAAACTCAACCAACGCAAATAGTTACCCGTAATTTTTGTTGTCACCACTCATTGAAGACCAACACCCTATTTGTGGCTACATCATAACTAATGCCAGTCTCTCCAGACATTAGTTGTTCCCATAACTTCCAATCTTTTCTCATATGTCAAATCTATCTTTAGTTACTTCTTGTCATAATTTTTCTGGCTCCTTTCTTGAAAATTCTTTTCAATTTTACCCCAATCAGGCCTTGTAAATGATATTTCTTGTCATTTCTTTTGCAGTATTTGCTTGACACAAACATCGATTAGAATTTTAGTCGTGTAAGGATCCCATATCATTTTTCCTTTATCATTATCCATTTCTCTATGACAAATAATTGAGATAAGACTTATTGAAGTAAGCAAAGCCCTAAAAATGTAATAATAAAAGTTATATTATGTAACAAATATGTTGTACTCGAACAAAAATATATATTATTTGCATAGTCTTCTCACCTACATTTTAAAAGAAATCCTAAGACACAAAGAATTCCAAATATTGTGTGTTATTTTCCTAATATTATTATACATGTTTTTGTTAATTAAGACATTTTGATTATATAAGCTTTGTGTGTTATTTTCCTAATATTATTTCTTAATATTGTGTGTTATTCATAATTTTTTTAAATTATAAATATATAATCACAATGTCAATCTCTACTATTCTCCAGTGGGGGAGAGAAAGGGAACCCTAGACCACAACCCTTGGAAGATTTTAATTTTTTAATGTATAATGATATTATACATTTCAGCACC